GGGGGAGTGAGTGAGAGGCTGCGTGGTTCTTGGCTGCTGGCTGGGGTGAAACCACGACACTGTCTCTGCAGAGAAGGCAAAACATCCTGTTTCACCTCATCCAGTCATTTTCCTAATCTATTCTTTCACCTCAGATTTCTGCTGTTGTGTTACCCCTCGACATCAAGCCTCTCCTGGATCATGCTAAGAGTCCTTATCATCCAGTATCCCATCAATTGTAACCACCATAAGAGGATGCTTATGGAAAAAATTTTTCACACTAGGGGTCTCAGCTATCAGATTTTCCCATGGCTGGAAGCCATTTCTGTGTATTCAGTAATCCCCAATGCCTTGCTTTCCCATGCACTTGTGCCTTGAAACCATGTACACACTACCAGTTGCAGCTTTTGTAATGGAGTGTGTGCTTGAGCTGCAGATGTGGTCTGTGGGCTGAGAGAGCAGTGGGTTCAAATACTGTCAGGAATAGCCAAAACCCTCAAGCTCTTGGCCATGGTCTGACCCTCCCAAACCCTGTCTGGGACTGTCATGGAGCACAGTGCCAGCATCCTCGCCAGGCCACAACCCAGGTCGATGTGGGCAGGGCTGGGGTCCCTCAGCCACCTCCATGGATGCCCCCTGGGCCAAAGCCTACACAGGCCCAGGTGGACAGAGCCATTCTGCCTGTCATGCCAACAAAACCAGGTACCTCTGGGAGCCTGTCCTGCAGCTCAGGGCATGCTGGCAAATTCTGCTTGATACACTGTGCACTGACGGGACCTCAGGGCTGACATTCCTGGCTTGTGTGCGACAAGGTGGGCTCAAAAACTACATCCGAGTGGCACTCTGAGCCCTAGGGACACTCTTCAGCTCAGCCTCCTATCCTCACACACAAAAGGAGTTTGATTCCACACCCACCCCCATCCTGAGTTTCATCCAGGTTGGTCTGGCAGGAGGAATGCATTTGATAGCATGCACTGGTACCAGGCAGAGAGCAACCTTCCTGCCCACAAAGCAGGAAGAACAGATGGTTGCAACTGTTTTGAGCTCATGGGAAGCTCAAAGGCTACAATAAGCAAAAAGGGGCCAGCAGAGGAAACAGCCAGAGCCAGTAACTCTGGTACTACAGTGCAAACTAAAGGAGTGATGCATTTTTTGGATGCCTCAAGGCCATAAACACTTACCATCACTCTCCTGAGTAGAGCAGTTGATTTACTAAAGTTTAAAAAACCTGATTTACTGCTGATAACCCTGACAAGCTTTAAGCCTTTGATGGTGGACTATGGACAAACTCCCAGGAAAGAATGAAACCTGGAAGTGATCATCCTGTCTTGTGAAGTCTAGCCTGGCTCTGAGTGTACACTGAGGGATGAAAAAGGAAATATTTCCTCATGGGCATGCAGGACGCATGCTGTGCCCTTGTTGTTGCAGGCTGGTTCATACTCGTGGAGTCTAACATACTTAGCAAGAGTTTGCAGATAACATAAATCATGGAAGAACAGTGTGGATAGGATCCCCCTCATGCTGGCATTTCAGCATAACTGCGCTTTGTAATTCTTAGATAAGAAAATTACAGACCTTGTTTTCACTTTTGAAGTCGAATGAGGCATCCTTCACAAAGATAAGTGTCTAGGACTAGTCTCAGGGTTATCTAGTAGTCAGATGCTAACCAGGCACTTTCATTAATTTGGGTCTGTAGATTCCTCTCACCAGTCATCATCATTTACAAAACACAGCTCCATTAGTAGTGACTTATTTCATCTGATGGATGTTCTGCCAGCATTAGTACATGCTGATAGCATCTGAAGCCTTGCTACAAGACTAAGCCAAATAATGGAAACTCACTTTTAATGAATCTATTCAAATAGACTCTTTACAGCACTAGCAGATCTGTGATATACATAGGCTTATATATAAACAATATACAGGGAAGTCAGGATTTCTGTGACACAGTCCTGACTCTTACATCTTCTTCTGGATGTTGTTAACAAGTGCATGTTTTAACAACTGTAAAACCGAGACAGTATTTTATGCCACATTGTCTGGAAGTATGAAAGTATTATAAAAGTTTGACTCAAAGCCCAGTAAATCTGCGGATGGGAGGCTGTTGTCTTGCATCAAGTTACTATTGAACTTAGTGCACTTCACCAGCAAGCAGAATTCACATTGTTTTTCAGAATCTCTAAGTTAGCAGGACACCAACATTTTTAATATCTGCATCTTTCAGATATTCCTTAAGGTTGTTTGAGAAATCCCAGTCCTCATTCTATCTTTAAACCTTTTATTTGCAGTAGGAAAACCAGTGTTTTTACTGGAGTAGCTGTCTGAATGAAGAATTAAAAAATACAGAAGAGTTCTTTATTTTAAGATTGCATCAACCCACAGAAAGATTCCATTAAAAAGTCAGAGAAGCAGTGACCACTTACAACCACAGGCTTGCTTAAAAGTAAATACACATATTTTAAAAAAATGAAGTTTAAGAGATAAATAACCAACAGGTCCAAGCAAGTGGTTTGATTTGCTTGGAAATACTACTCCACTTATGTAATGGCCCATCTGTTATGCTGAGCATAGCCACGGATCCTGGTTTATATACTTTTGTTTTTGAAGCAACTTTTACATCCTTATCAGTAAAATCAAACACATTGAAAGCATTTCTAGTCAAAGGCAAAACATAACACTGTAGCTGCAGGAAAACTCCAGGGGAGATGGAGACAACCTGAAAGCTCTGCAGGTCCACAGGCTTTGCAGCACCATATGACCAGCTTGCTAAATTTCACAGGTATGAGATAAACACAGTGCTAATACCTGATATAAAATACTTCTTTCTGCTCTGAGAAAACATGAGGAATGTATGAAAGCTTTTCCTTTACAAAATTAGCTTTAAAATGTTTCAAACAGCACAAATATTTACATGAGCATATATACATAGTGCCAAAGACTGCAGTGCTGTCTTCTGCTTTTACAGCATAAACTTCAAGGAAATGAAAGTAATCTTAAGCATTGCAGACCTTTTTGACCTTTGCCAAAGCCAAGGAAAGCTGCCATTACACAGCACTATACAGGCCACCTGAGCTTTGGTTCCACTGGTCCACTGGGACCAGTGGAACCTCACACACACCAGGCTGCATTTCTGTGCTTGCATTTCTGAGTGCACAGACAGAATTGCAATCACTTAACTCCACTTTTAAATCAGATCCTACAGATGTCTAAGGGCCATACTCTTTGCTAGCAAAGTCACTGACTGAATCTCTGGCTCTAAAATTAAGGTAAGTTTTGGCTGTTCCTCATATGTTAAATAAAGGACCAAGTTGGAGTCAGTGAAAAATGTATATGATGCAAATGCTTACTTGTCCAAGACAGCACAGACCCAAACCAAGTAATGGAATTTTTACATCAACAAAAAAATTGCAGTTCTCAGCTTTTTTGACCCTTGCTCTCTGCAATCCCTGTGCTAATGTGCAAGTATTGATTGCTTAAGTTACAAATGCTGATAACCCAAAGTTGTGACATCCCTCCTGAAGATCAACACACCACTGTCCTGAGGACGCACTGGCTTTGGTGGCCTGGGCTTCTCAGGAAGGAGAGATTTCTTAGCAACTCACCGAGGCACAGAAATCTGCAGCTGCAGCCAGGAGGAGCTGCCCTGGCCCACATGGTAATAGGTGTCAAACACAATGAGAAACTGATTCCCCTCAGAGGAGGGCCTCAGCAGATACACTGAACAGCAGTTCAGAAACCTAACTTGTGCTTTGCACACTACTATCCATCACTAAATTTGAGACCTTTTTTTTGTGTTTTCCCATAATTATGCAGCTCTGGTTATGTGGTATTATTACATTAACTGAATAATAAAAAGCAGTTTAAAAAATAGCAAACAAGGAAACAAAATATATTTCCCACATCTTTACACTTCAAAAGCATTGCTTCCAATCTTACAAAATAACAACAGCAGATTTCCTTACTTGCTTCCTGGTCATAATACATATTTATACAAACTAGTACAAGTGAGCACATGTCATTCTGGAAGCTCCAGCAAATTCAGATCTCACCAAAAAGCCCAAAGCAAGACGCATGAGGACACAAGGGTGTTGGATGCTGCAACCCCTGCAAGGAGCCTGGCTATGAGCGAGTGTACTGCACTGCGCTGTACTTGGTGACCCTGGAAGACTTGCTCAGTGTGGCACTGGCAGGAGGTGGCCCTTCCAAGTCGGAGCCTGCCAGGTTAAGCGGGGAGTCTGTAATCAACACATGCTCTTGCCTCCCAGAGCTGACACCTCCTGCTGCCTGTTCAGCTCTGCTCTGCAGGCCTGAGGCTGTCACCACCCTTTCATTCGCCATCACACCACGTTCTTCTGTCAAAGTGGGGAAGCTGAGTGAGTCCTGCTCTGCAGCGGGCACAAGCACCCTCTCTCGCTCCCTCACCACGACATACCGGGAGTCAGGAAGATCCTGAACTGCCAGAACTCCTGGCCCTGCACCCGCTGACTTCACTATCCTCTCCGTAACCACCACATTATTTCCATGTGGCAAATCAGGGATTTTGACCATACCCTGAATGCTTGATGCAGGTGCCAACACTCTCTCCGTCACCACCACGTTCTCCTTGAACTGGGGGTCTAGAAAGACAGCGCCTGAGTGGGCAGCAGCCCCTGCAGAGTAGGATGTTTCTGTCATGGTGACATTGGTCTCCGAGTGGGCTGTGGAAAGGGGCCGGGCATTGTGCTGCTTTGGCATTGTGGATGAAAAGGTTGTTTCCGTGACCACCTCCTTGGACAGGATGTCTTCTCCTGTGCCACTGCCTGTATGCACCGGCAGAGTGGGCTGGGAGCAACTGCCTGAGGCAAAGGCTTGTTCGGAGCTGGAAGCATTCTGCTGGCCTACAAACCCTGACTTGGCATCATTAAGACCCAAAGCTGATACATTCTTGGAGCCACCATCTTTCATGCTGATCTGTCTGCCTATGCATATTTCTGCTAGAGTCTTAAATTTGTCCCCTAAATCATCAAGGAAACGGTCATCAAGATCCCCCTCAATAAAGCTGCAGCAGCCAACTGAGCCATGAGGGGAGCCTGATTCTCCCTGTGAATAAACCAGGAGACAGTCTTTTGCAGCTTGCTCTTCATCTTCATCGGCAAAAGAGACAGCTTTCTACAGACAGAAAAAAAGCAAGCAAAAGTTCATTAATGCCAGCTCTAAACATAGTAATTTAGAAAAATCAGGAATGATTGGTCAAAAAGATTGAAATAAAAAAATTAACAGAACCCACAGAAACTACCAGCCAAATGAAGGCAGTACCTAAGAGGGTTGTTTTCTTTTTTAAAGTTAGTCTGAACTTGACAGTACACTTGATGAGAAGAAAACTCTGAGATTAAATTGAGAACTGTGGACACTATCACCACCTGCTGCCATTCCTACCAGTAATTGTACCATTTTTGATACTGTTCAATCTTCACAAAGAGATTGTATTTTGGTTCACTGAATGAACTTCACCTCTAACTAGGTGTTTGTGGGAGAATGCCAAAACCATACCTGAGAGTATCCTAACACTTAAACAAGCATTTAATGAATACATTAAATGTTTGTTTAAGTGCTGACATGTTATCACCTGCCATGGCCCTTTTCACTAGCACAGCCTGCAGGATCACACCCAAGATGTCTAAGAGCAAACAAATAAAAAAGTTAAATGGATTGGTAAGTACAGATACACAGTCTAGCAGGTAAATTTTTAGGTTCCATGCAGGCCACTTGGCAACAAGGAGGGCTCACGGGTTCTGACTACAGTGTTTCCAGGGCCAGTTCAGTTTGAAAGCAGCATCTGCAACAGACCTTGCTGCAGTGCTAACACAAATATCTGTGTATATGCTTGCATCATGTTCCAGTTCCAGAAGAACATGCTCCAGTTTCAGGAGTCAAGACAGCCAAATCCTCTGGACCTGTGAACCAGCTTTACCTAATACAGTTCCTGCCTTGTGCTCAGAACTACCTTTTTACCACATTTGAAGTTCTAGAGAGCATATTAGCTCAGGCGTCTGTGTAATGTATCCAGACCCAAACTGTCCCTGTGTGTTTATCTCCATTTGATCCTGGAAGCAGGCACATGAACAAAGATGATGCTACATAAATCACCACATCTGAAACTATTCAGTTGAGTTACTTGTCTGTTTCCCCATCCCTCACCTGTATAAATAAGCCTCCCAAAAGTTGGACCGAGTATGACCTTTACTAGGCCCTCCTGCAAGAATTCATCAGGCAGCTATGCTTAAAGTAAGTCTTAATGATAGCAAGCACAAAGAGTGCTCCATACTCAGCACAAAGAGTGCTTGCTACTAAGAAAGCAGATTGCTACTGTTCCACCTGTTCACCCAGAAGACCAGTACCTAGAGGTCTCAGAGACATACAAGTATCTAGAGCACAAGTCCTTCCCTGGCCTGAGGTGGTGATTCAAATCTGCACAGCTACAACCCCCCCACACCCTCCCACCCCTCCCCCCCACGAAACCACATCAGCAGCCAGCTGTGGGGTGTGAAGCTGTTTTGTTTGTACAGGTGATGGCATATGGAAGTGAAACTTTCGCTATAAGGAGCTCACCAGCCCAAAGATTCATGATGTACATTATGCAAAGGAATTCTCCTGCTGCAATGAGTAGGAACAGCCTATTGGCCAATGGTTAGACCAGTAAAAAAAAAAAAAAAAAGCTAGAAAGGGGATTGCAACATGTGCCTCATACACTTTTGATGAATGGCACTTTACCCAGGCTGCTGGGCAAACAGACAAGTCAGCGCCTCTTACTTCATCAGCTACTTTGAAAGTGCAGACCCACCCTCTAGTGTATGACATCTTTAGCTTATCTTTCACAAAGCTGCTCTGTGGTAAAGTTTGTAGCTGTGACTCATGATGAGTCACAGGTGCCTCCCTACAGGCCGGTATAATGTGCTTAAGTCCCTGAGATTTAGATCACATAGTCTTTCTCATGGCTTTTTACTGGGTAAGGGGCTCCTTTGGTCATTGCTGAATATTCTGGATCCCATCCCCAAGTACCTCCCTTGAGAGAAACACCTACTTGGGAGACACCTTTCAAGCAATGCAGTGCTACAAGACTGAGCACTGCCATGCTCTAAGTCCCACATGTGAACCCAATCCAAAAATCCTTAAAGCCCCAACTCCTCATGAACACAACACTGGTGACTGTACCGAGACTATTTATACATATATATCTACTCATCTGGGTTTGTAATAACATGAACAACACTTCACAATGCTGAGTGTAAATATCAAAATACTGTTTTTTTGGGTCAAATGCTTACGTCATTGAAGTAGTCTCTTAAAAATTCTTCATTCATGGCTCCTGCTGCTCCCACTGCAAGTCCTCCTCCAGACACCATTGTTTTGCCTCCTACACCCCCCCGCCCTTCCCCCCAGCCGCTCCAGCTGCCATGGCTCCATACTCAGCACCAGAATGAAGATGTCTTTGCTCTTCCCATCTCTCCTTGGTAATAGTGCTGCGATGCTCCCCTAGATGAGAGGCAGAGCTGCCTGCTCCTGTTACAGTTTCGTCTCCACTCATTCCTACTGCCGCTGCTGCTGCTGTTGTTGCTCCTCTCAAGTTCCCCACTGCAGTGGCTGGAATGAAGCTTAGCACTGGCTACATAAATAAAACAAATTAAGATGTGACATGAAAGCTGTGCTGTCTAGCACGTGGAACTCACCAAACCAGCACTAGGGCTGGGTGGGACGTGGGAAGGTGCTGCCTTACGACTTGTTTGAATTCGCACTTATACATGTTGCTGCAAACAGTAAATGGCCTCCTAAAATAGGATCCAGCTTCCAGAAATGTGTTCCCAAGGAGGACCATGGAAATGGCTGCCTATATTGTTTTCTTGAAACTCAGAGGGTTGGAAGTTTGGGTTGGAAAACCCAAAACCCCACTACCACCACAAAAACCCAAACCAAAACATGACCAAAAAAAGGCTTACAAAACTCTAGGGTGCTCAATTTTTCCAAGAAAAACTGTCCAGTTTACCTCAGACACAAAATGATAAGTCTGCGCTGCCTGACACCTCTGTGGTGCTGCCTGGCCCTTTCTTCTTTTCTAGCTGTTTGGCTTCCCTGTTAATTATTTTTAATTAGAATTTGGTGTGGGCCTTGGCCCTAAATCAAATTCTTTTACTTTTTGTTTCTTTGTTATTGTGCAAAAGCATTTCAATGTCATGTCCTTTTTTTGAAAACTGTGGTTTGTAGCATAACAACAAAGAACAAACTTCTCTCAGCGTTCACTGGTCCCTCTGCAGATTTACACTTTTTCTGCCTTTTTCTTGTTTGATTAAAAATTTCCTCTGTTTAAAAAAGCAAATACACGGGGAAGTAATCTAAAACAGTCTGAAACTTTAAACCAGCTTTATAACTCATTCTTTTGCTGCCTTACCATGCTCCCAAAGGGGAGCAGAACATTCCAGGCTTGCAAATGCAAATGCTTCACTCTCTATAGAATGGATGTTTTTCCCA